AGTGCTGTTTTATTAATTCTTCTCACCACTGAAATACACCAAAGCCAAGCCCATAATTCCTGATGCCACTTTTTCATTGTTTACAAAATGTAGACTAGATTTTAAATTCAGAAATCTGAGCAGTTTAGGTGCATCTGGACAAGACAGAAAAGAAATTGTCTAGAGTTAAGACTATGGATATGGATGCTATAAATAAATAAATAAACACACAATCATGAAGTGTTAATTTCTGACATATTGATATCATCAAAAATTTTATTCATGGAACTCAGTGTCATGGGAAAAATGTTGGTTTGAGAGATGCTTTATAGCTTATACAAAACTGACCACTCACAGAGGAGATGATGAACTAATTTGAAGAAAAGTGCTTGATTTATTTGCCTTTTCTCTGTTTTTGTTTAATATTGTGGGAAACTAAAAGTATCTGATTAGAAAAATGAAGTTGAGTCAGAGATACAAGACAGGATGAGTAAACATCCCCCACTGCTCTCAGCACATTACAAACTATATGGTACCTTTTATAACAATGCAGCAAGAATAAATCAACCTTTTGTGACTGAAAGGTGACAATATTACTTGTTCTGGTGTTTTCTGCCTTTCAAAAGATGGTCACTGTTGCTGCTCACAGAATTGAGATCAGGCCAAGACACGCATTTTAATATCATTTTGCTCCTTATTACAATTGTTTTCAGGTGACTTTTAGTACCTCATTACCAGCTAGACAAAGTTTTTTCTGGGCTCTGTGTCCTTACAAGGTCCTTACAATGCCTTGAAGACTTTGCATTTCATTTGTACCTATTGCCCAAATGCAGTGTCTTTTAATTGCAAAGTAGTCATAATTTGGATATACAGTGTGACACTCTGTGGTTCACACTCAGGAAGAAGTCTTCAGGAAATTTTCACATCCCAAACTACCTGAATCAGGTTTTATTCACACATATGCTCAGTGTGATGAAAAGACAAACCTCAAACAGGAATTTCAAGCGAGTAAGATCTCTCTCTCTTCAGAGATTGACGTCCAAATTGTGTATAGCACATGCCCTACTTGAATCTGTTCTAAAATCCTTAAGGGCACATACCAAAGGTCCTTGTCTCTCAGCAGTGTAATCCCATGCTGACCCCATGGGGTGCAGCCCCTGGGCTGGAAGTGCTCTGGGAAAAGCCCCGAGTGATGGCCCCAGCCATGCATCCCCATGTATACCTCTCCCTCTTGTAATGCTCATTCATAAGTGCATCTCACCTGTATAGAAATAGTGATTTTCTTTTTCCGTAATACTGCCTACAAATAGCTTCTCGATTTTTAGTCCATTAACAAATCTTTCCTGGGATCTATTAACGTGTCACTATGGAATGCCTTTTTCTTCAAAGTTTAATACAGCTTAACTCTGTCTTAATCATATTGCTCTACTACACTTTATAGCCTGCAGCTTCAGGGAACCTTTGCCTTTTATTAGTACCCATATACAATCATGATGTCATTCCAAAAAAATAGTGCTGCTTTGGGTTCCATAAATTCTTATACCTTTGATTTACTTGGTGTATCAGGAGTTCTCTGGGAAGGAAGATATGCAGGCAGAGCAAGGAAATGAAATGCTACAGCACTGAGTTGTGTCAGCACATTGCTTTGCAAGGAAGACCTGACAGGAGATATGGACACTTCTTCCCTGCAACGATACTCGTCAAAGTTAACAGCAATGATGGCTTGGTCAAATTCTTGATACAGTCAAGGTGAGTCCTGCTATCACAGTCAATGAGAGCTGACAGATTGCTGTTGATTTCACACTTGCAGTCTTGCAAGTCACCATTTCTTGTTTGATAGAGCCCCATAAAGAAGCCCTTGTGCCATGGTCTTGAAGTCGCAGAATTTCTGATTTTGCCAGCCGTGAAGCCCTTCTGGCTGCTTGGTGGAAAGAGAAGCAGAGTATCTGTTTGTCATCTAGTTTGGGTCATTTGTTCCACCAGGTGAGGAAAAAGAAGTCAAGGATTGAAAATCCTACTTACAGAAGCAGACTCAGATCCATGTTTTATCTGTTATTTGGTGTGGTATTTTTTTCCTTTGTAATGACATTTGTGATGAATATACCAAAGTTGTAGTAGTGTGATAAATCTGTGGCCTCCATCCATTAAATATGTTATTTATATCACTGACTTCATTACTGGAGATGACAAAACTAAGATTATGTAGTTGTGCAGTTGTATAAGAGTAGGTACTGATAACTCTGTTGCCTTTTCCAAATCCATTTCTACCGAGAAGCATATTTTAATGCAATTTAGGGTGCTATGGTCTCAGGAGCCTGAACAAGATGTATTCACTAATTAAATATAAACATGAGGTCCAGCATTCTTTCTAAAATACATCAGATCCTGTCGTACTCACATGCTTGTCTCCCTGCTGTTACAAAGATTTGTCATATGCAGGTGCTTGATTTTCCTCTTAGCATCATGTCAAAGACTGAAAAATTCCTATGTATCTGATCTGTCTGAAAGTAAGACACCATCGTACCTTTTCTTTCTAGTACCCAAGCAGGCACTGTCTGGGTCTGCTTCAATATTTGTTGTTTTTTTTCCAGTTTCTTCATAAGACTTTTTTGATTTTTTTTTTCCAAGTCAGAGTTACTGCTATGTGCTCTATGTGGTGCAAATGTTCAAAGGAATTGGGAATGTGCAGCTCGTACAGAATGCAGCTGCCTGGCTGTGAAATGATATTAGACGCAGAGAATACAGTATATCGATGCTTTGGCATCTATATCAGCTTCCTGTTTGTTTCTGAGTATAATTTAAGTCCCTTTTTTTTTTACCTGGTTGGATCCTGAAAGGTTACTGCTTTTGTCTATATGAATTGCCATAGCAACTGTGGTGCTGGAGCCAACAGTCACAGGCTTTAACAGCCTGGGGGTCAGCAGCACAACACTCTTAATTTAGAGACCTTCATCTCTAAAATCTGGGTTGTTTTACTGACTTGATTGGGCTATATTTTCTGTACTTCAACATGACTCGGTGGTCTGTGGGCTACAGAATCCTGATTTCTGCCTGAGAGGAAGGGAGGGAAGAGATGTGAGTTTATATATGTTTATTTAGGAAGAATTGTATTTTTTTTCCTTTGAATAAACATATTTTAAAGCCTACCCAAAACCCAAAGTATATATTGACTTGCATGTAAAAGCTATGTTATGGTATGTCCTATTCTGTTGCAAGGCTACGGCTCAGATCTAAGGCTTTTCCTTCTGTATATTATCAGCTGCAGACTGCACTAATCACAAACAGTGCATGTGAGCCTGGCTCAACATCCTGACTGCAATAGCCCCAGCAGTGTAAATTTATAATGTCATATTTTTAAAATGATGTGCTTGAAGCCAGCATTGCAGGGAAAGTCACAAGTGGCAGTGGGGCAGACAAATCACACAGTGTTTTCCTGTTTGTTAGCAGGTCTCTCTTGCCCTTCAGCTGATAGAGCAGAAAGCAGTGGCTACTACTATTATGTGCCACAAATATGTTACCCTCAGTAACACACAATTTAAATATTGATAATGATATTTATGCAGTTGGTCGTTCGAGCAGTGGTAACATGTATCTGTCACTCATTGCAGCTTTATCTGCCATACTGCACATATTTTTATTAAAATGAGTGCAGCTGGGGACCTTATCAATAGGAATAGCTGAGTGTCAAAGTCCTCATCCTCCACAGAAACAAAAGCATCCAAAGCTGATGCTTTTAAATGCTGTAAGATACTTCACTTCTGTTCACATTTTTTGTTGTTCTGCAACACTCTAACATGGTTGTTTAGTGACACCGCTGACCTAGCCAATGAAATAATGGAAATCATAAAATTGTGCTCTGCAGTGTGTAGGGGTCTAGTGGCTTTGTCTTCTGGGTGAATCTTTCCTGACCTGCTTGCTCTGTGGGTGTGCTGTGGGTGTTTTATCAGGACTTTGGGATTCAACCAAGACTGACTACTTGGTTGACAAACAGTGGCACCCATGCCCAGAAGTTTGAAGCCAAGCTTCCCAAATAATCTGCACGAATACCAAATGCAGACATCTACCTATTCATTTATTGACATGTATGGCTTTAGGTGACAGTTGCTGTGAAATTAAATATTGAAAACACTACTTTACCCTTCTCCCAATTCATTTTTACCACTGGGACAGCTTCCAACAATGGAGGACATTCCTATTTTCTTCAGATGGCTACCTATCTTCTTCCTAGAACAGAAAACATCAAACCATTGCAAAGGGAGCTGAAATGACCCAGAAAAAAAAACTTTATGTGAATCTGGAATACCCAGAGAGACACCAACCTCTTCATTTTATTTTTACATGTCCTTGACTACTATTTCTTGCATGTAGAGGGATGTGTCAAGCCCCAGATAAGTCAGTCACCTTGACTCTTTGGGGCTATCCCCCCTACACTTCTTACTTAGAAAGCTTCAAAAGCAGCTGTTTTCTCAACACAAAGTGTTAGGAGAGTAGGATGCTGTGATACAGCAACTGGGGCTATGGCTCCCTGGCCGGATGGCTTTGTCAGAAACAGATCTTGGTCTCTGGTGTAAGGAGCTCAAAATGGGGGTGATAAAAAGAGAGAAAGTCTAAGACAATTGTAGTTTTACAGTCTTCTTTTTCAGCTTGCAAACCGCAGATAAGAGCAGACAAGCTTTATGACAGTGTAGAGAAATCAATACATTTTTATTGATTCTTGTAGCTGCAGAACTCTCACCCAGCACAAGTACAGGGGTCAGAGTATGAGTACATGACTGTCCTGCTACACTACGAGTGTGCTCCTCAGAAGTCGTGCTATTTGATTCACCAAGGATGAAGTCTGCTCCATTACATGACTGCAACAACAGCATCTGACCCAGGATCCCCTCTCAGCGGGGGAAGGTAGGTGCTGTAAATTATCCACTGCTGGGGGCAGCTGCAGCTGCTTGCACAGCTTCACATAAGGAAAATACTTTTTTTTTTTTTTAATTTAACAAAAGAGTATTTTCAAACCAAGACACAGAGCCTATTGAAACAATGCATTTTATTCTAAAAGAAGGCAGTCTGCAAAGTTGCATTTGAAGAAATGACACAGAAGTAGAAACATCAAAACAAAACAACTTGGAAAACTAACTAAGAAGCGGCATAGTCAAAGCAGAATGAAATTAGGGACTTGGAACAAGCATCTAGTTTTGAAACAAAAAGAACTGGAAACAAAAAGCAGTCAGAATTAAACAGAAATTAAATTAATGAAAATTTGAATATGAAAATGAATTGAAACAGAGTTGTAAGTTTTACATTTATTTGAAATTTTTGTAACCCCCCAAAAAAACATCACTGAGAGGTTTTCAAAGTTGTTTTGATTTTGTAGAAATATTCATTTATTTAATTGGCACTCGAAACTTCTCTTGAAAAATTTCTGACCTGCTTCAGCCTTAGTGAGAAGCCATTCATTGGCAAACTGAAATTCTCTGGTCATTTTCAGTAGCTGTGAAGCTGTTGAAATGGTGTAAAACTTTCTAGTAAGTCCTTTTAGTATTGTGGCCCACATTTTCAGGTGACATTTTGTAGTTGATTTGATTGTGCAGCAATGGACTTCACCTTTATTCTGTCTTTTATTCTCCATCTTTTCAGCTGAGTCCATTATTACTTGTTCCGAATTCCTTCAACTCTTCTCTTTGACTTTGTGTTACTTTCCCCTTCATTCTCAGACTGCACCACCTAACACCCTACACCTGCTTTTGATGTCACCAAATAGGGACAATGACTATAAAGTCATTTCCCTTTACAAGTCAAACCTGGAAGGTCTCTCTGTTGTCATTCATTCTATTTCCATTGCTGGCGTAAGTGTCCTTGTTGTTTTTCCCACTAGTGAAGACAGGGCAAATGTCATATTCACTGAAGCAAAGACTTTGCTTTGAAGCGGTATTGATTTTTCCTTTTCCCTTCTGAAGCTTTGCCAGGCTCCATAAAAGCATGTCTCTTGTTCAGAAGCTCTTTGGACTGAGAGACAACAGGGGCAGCAGTACCAGCGGGGAGCAGTTGGAAGTTAGGGCATCTGGTGGGGAATGACAATTTTGACAGCAGTTAGAAAAAGAAAGAGGTCATTTTATTTTTAACTGTACTGTGAGAACAATTGTGGATCAGAACAAAGCCAAATGGGAAACACAGATTTAATTCCAACCTATAATTCCTCCATGTCTAATTTGGAATATGAACGTTTTTGTAGGACTCAGCTGCTGGCAGCAAGACAACTGGACCACCAGAAGTTACATCTGGGTTAAAGGCTTAACCACAAAGGTGATAAGAGCCATGACTTTGGGGCACAATGTTACAAAGGCACAAACCTTACTTGGCACTGGACAGGAGCCTGCAGAGAACTTCTCTGGATGAAGGTCCAGTGCTACAACAGGAGTCCTATTTAAGAGATCTCAATTTCTTCCTTCAGAACCAGTTTGTGTGATGTAGAAATATCCAGTAGTGTTTATTAAGCTCGCACATATAGCAAACAACCAAAATTCTTCTGTATTTTCCCACTGTGAGTCTGGATCCCTTGAAGGATATGACCACATACAGGCAATTATCTGTGCACTGGAGAGTGTCCCACTCAGTGAGAAGGTGGGTCCTGATTTTAAGTCTATTTAAAAGTTGTGCCTCCTAGATCCTCCAACACTTCCATGGCATTTTGTTCATGCTGACTCAGAGGAAACAATCTCACTTATTGAAGCATCAATGCCACTTTTTCCATTCTTGTGTATTTCTTTGCGATGTCAGGCTAGCTGAGCTGGTCTTCCAAAGCTCAGCAGCTGATGCTGGAAGTGCATGTAAAATTATAGCATCTGCCTTTTGCAGAGTGAGTCAAGTAATAATTATAGTAGATTTGCCTACAGGTTTTGTTTCTTTGTGATTTATTGTTTTTTGTAAAATTAGTAACTACTTCACTTAAGTACACCGGAATTATTGTTCTTAAAAAAAAAAACAACAATAAGAATTATTCCTAGTGCCAGTCTGAGACCTCATACTCACAAGAAGTAAATCAACCAAGTGTCCCCCTTTTATTACCTTCCTCTGCTCAGTCCCATCTCCAAGTCAGAAAGGTCTGACTAGAAATTCATGAGATTGCTTCCGATTTCTCAGCTATTTTGTGAATTGTGCATATGCAACAGCTGGAAATAAGACTTTTTTTAAAACACCTGCGGAGAAAAAAAAAATAGCATCAATGAGAGGGTTCTGTTGATTAGAGGATGTTTTCTGCTACTCATTTGTAAGGGAAGTGATTCATTAAGTGCTGTCTGAAAACTATCTTCATGCTGAATTAATAGGAAAAGGTCCTGTAGTCACTAAGGTGTGCAGGAATAGCTGAAACCCCCAGCACCACCATGGTGATTGCTGGTGCTGACCCATGCTTTGCACATCAGCACTGCTCCGGCTGGCCATGACATTTGTAAATTCTCTCCAACCTCCCCTGGCATGGCCATCACTAGTTGCTACCTTTTTTTTTCCCCCCCCCTCTCCAACCACTTGTACCTGTCAGTGCAGTTTTACACAGTCTCTCGAGCAATAGGAAGCATCTTAAAACCGTGACACCTTGCATGGGGAAAGAAAAACATAACTGATACTGTTTGCCCCACCAGGGCCCAAGCACAGCAAGTAATAAACACATGGAAACTATTTTGGTGTCCTGGGTCAGCTTTGACTTTGCAGTTTCCTGCAATACATTTCAGGGCATATCACAGTGTTGACCTCTACACTGGTGTTATCTGTCCAGTTCTCTGTGTACATTTGTTTTCATTATTTGTGTCCCCTCATGCTGTTTTTTTCTGACAGGCTCAGGATCTGAAAGCTGCTTTGCCAGACCTTTAAGTAACAACCCATCATCAGCCGTACTGGGTATGGAAGGCTGCAGCTTGAATTTGTTTTCACAAAAGGCACATCACAAGACCTGCCTAATCAGCAGTTACCTAGTTTGCTCACTCCAGACAGAGTCAATTTACAGACCACGTCTGTTGTTGACCCTGCTGTCTGCTCTGGATTATTCCAGTCTGCCTCCACTTTCTAAAATTAAATGTTAGTATTTTTAATTGCTGTTTTTAACTCTTGCCTAATTGGGCACAAGCTCATATGTTACAAACCTCTCTCAAAGGAAAACAAGAGCAATCTAGTAAAGAAGCAAGAGTGGGACTGCTGGCACTAACAGAATGGGTTTGTGCCATTTTGCCTCTGCCCATCATCCACAGATGGTTGCATGGCAGTGAAAAAAAGTCAGGTACCACATCCACTCACCTCCCCTGCCCAGGTCAGATGTACCATCACATTGCAGGAATTCCACATCTCAGAGCATGAACATGTAGGGTTGTTGCTGCTGATGTAATTCAAAGCAGCTCTGAGTCTGAGCTTGCTGCTTGTTCATGTTGCAGCTGAAAGAGCTTGTAGACATTGGAGGATTAATCTTGTGATTAGGCATCTCGGGTCTGTATACGATACTTGGTCAGAGCTGAGATCACAGAACACAGTATTTCATGGCCACTCTTTGTTTCCTTTATACTTGTTGTAGACGTGAAGTAAAACTGTTTCATTCACAATAACTGCAATAGAATTTGGCAATAATTGCAAAAATTATATACTATATTTCTGTAGACTACTTAAAAGATACTGCTAAATTTGACCAGAGGGAATATGAAAAATAGCTATTTTTTAAACCAACAAAAAAAGAACGGTGAAATTATTATAGCATTTCTTTCTCTGACTTTTAATAAGACTTTTCTTCTATGTGACTATTTCTAGTTGATCTCATTTTAAAAATAAATTTCACATTCTGGGAGAGAATATACAGCCTATCCTGTATAGTTTACTATAGAGGGTGCCAAAGATTTGCAGTTTGCAAATTTCAAGTTCAGCTGTTTATGATACTATAATTTTTCTATGCCCATAAAAACAAACAAACAAACAACAACAAAAAGAAACTCTGACCATAGCAACATAGACCCAGAATGAACATTCAGGAAACAAATTTGGCACCTACCTGAGGGATTATGGACTGAACACAGACCACAGGAATGAAGAGGCTGGTGAAGTAGCTACACGTGTTCTACTTTGGAAATAAACATTGGAATGCTCTGGCTGCTGTCATCTGGTTTATGGCAAAAAACACAGCAGGTCTGTGGTAACATCTGTAAGTAAAGGTCAGCAGCAAGCCAAAACTGATTAAAATTTTAACCACGGAAAATATATATTTATTTTTTCTTAAAGATTTACAAAGATTTAATTTGCTGTCTTTATTTCCTTAGTACATAAGACCACAGATGTGAAACAAACGTAGTTGTACCAATCCTTAATCCAAACAGTTCTACTGTAAACCAAAGTCTGCTATACCTAGTGTAAAGGTTAACTGAATGGCAAATTCCATGAAAATCTTTAAATAAATAAGGAGTTACTGTAAGATACCAGAGTCAATGAGTCTCATGAATGCTCACAGCTGTTCTCTAAAATTTAGTTTTCTAGCTTTGACCTCTGTTCTTTTTGAGAAACCAGGTTTTTGTTGATCAGCCTTGCAGATCAACAGGATGGGTATAAGCCCTGTGATTGCACCACAGGTAGTCCCCATTAGCTGATGCTTTTCATATTGATCTCTCCTAAATGGATAATGTTTAGTAGTTTCATAGTCAATGAAACCATCAATAACTGTCAGCTTTTACACCTCTTTGACCTCAATGAAGAGCAAATATTGCTATCAGTTTTATCTGGTTTGTTCTTGTTGTTTTGAGTTTTTTCAGTTAATCTGATTGCAACACACAGCATGAGGATCAGAGGTTTGAACAAAAGCAGCTAAGGCATTCATGTACCTCCTAAGACATTACTGATCACATTTTGCATAGTTCTCTTCAAAACATTGATGATTCACAGGACAGTAATCAGTCCTCTCTCCAGTAAAATAAGTTCACAATGATTTCAATCAGATATAGCTCTAAAACATGTTTCTATAAATCTTGTAGTCTTAAGTGCTTGTCAAATAGATGTCAGAAACCACATGGAAGTCTAAAAATGTTCATGTAAACCCATCTTCAAGTGCTTGATATCGATTTGTCTATTGTACATCTTCATGCTCAACACAGGTTAAAATAGTTCAGTTATCTCACATTATAACTAGAGGCTGCTGACAGAAATAAGTTGTTATGCTGCTTGCAACTAACAAAACCCCTCAGATTTTGGGCAATTTTTGAAAATGAAAACCATATCCTTTTCATGTGTGAATTCTCTTGCTGTTCCTACCACCTCTTTTAGTCCTTTGACAAAGGTTTGAAGCTTAAAAACACTCAAAACTAGGATGGAAAAGAGGAATCCCTACTACATAAAAAAAGGACCCCACTGGACCAGAAGAGACATCTTGTCTTTTTTTTTTTTTTGTTAAATATAGATACTGAGTGCTAACCACAGCTAAATCCATGCTAACTTCTGAGAAGAACAAGCCAACTTCAAAGATGCTCAAAGTGGTAAAACATAGCAGTTTTGCCAAGTGCTACAAAAGGACCCCATTTCTGTTGGTGTTCCAGACTGCTCAGTAATGGTTTCATCCCCAAAACTCACCTCTAGGGGCTTAGCATCTCCATTCTCTCTCTCTCTTCCCTCACCCCCATCTTTCTCTCCCCAACAGCATTTCTCTGTTCTTCTGCATTACCACTTCATTAACTCACTCCTGACTAAGCTTATTCCTCACAAAGTACTATCACACAGAATATAACAGTGCTGTGAAACCAACATTTTTAGTGAGCCAATTATCTATGTCTTAATTATTAGTAATCTTAGAGCTATTTAGAGAGGTGAAAGAAATGAGACAAGAACCACTATCTCATCTACCCATCATCCCAAGGCAAAATCTGTTCTGAAATGCCTTCTGCACTACAAATGCTGTAGGCAACCAGCTCTGCTTGTCATTGGAAAGCCTCTATACTATGAAGTTTTCAAAGTGAGGATTGCTCATTACTTCATTCTGTTTCATAGCCTTCGCTATTTAATTCTTATCACTGCTGGTCTTATTCCCAGCTATAGGCACTGTAGTAATAATCAATGGGTGTAAAAAGCTATCATTCTGATCTAAACAACTTCAAAAATGTCAATTGCATACATGTATAAAATGAGAAGAGAATGCTTGATTGCATAAAAGGGTTTCAGGATTTCATAGTCAAGTGAATCTGAGGGAGAGAAAGGACAGCATTTAATTCATCCACTTTTGATTCCCCCATTAGTCACCAGGGAAAGACAAGCACCTCTAGAATATGACTTACCTGGTACCAAAATTCCTCCATCAATTAACTTCACTAGAAGGTACAGTCAGCATCCCTATACTGATGGTGATAACTGATAAGTAAGAATTTCATCCTGATAATATACATCCAACCAGAAATCTAACAGCAAGCACACCTCCCATGCTAGAATCCAAGCTGTCAAGCCACCCTCCTACTCTTTAAGAAGAAGATGAAGAGCTCGTTAGAGCTGCAAAACAGTGGCAAATTAAATTGGATGCTCCACACACCTGTAGCTCATTCCCTTCTGATATTGAAAGCGCACATTTTTCTCAGGTGCAGTAAGTGGAAACTCTGCTGTTTACTGTGGTGGGCTCAGCGTGAGCTTAGTTCAGTGGAATGGCTGTAACAGATACAGACACCCTGACAAAATCCGCTTCACTGCAGACAGAGGTCGTAGTGTCTGCGCAGCTGGGAAGAATACATCAACACTTGTCTGAAGTGTGGCCATGAGCTACAAACTACTTATAACCTCTTTAATCTTCTTAATTTAACAAACAGCAGAGTTTACAAGTCATTGCTTATGTCTGGAGGCATCTGCTTGCCTTAGGTCTAGGTTTGCTTTTGTCTGTGAAATTGTACCTCCAGCATCTTTCAAAGGGAAACTTACCATCTGGCATGTGTGTGAGGCTAATTCAGTGATGGCTGTGATCTTCCTAGTGTGTGCCTATCATTAACTGAAGGAGTTTTTCTACCTACCCTTGAGCAACTGGTCTTGGCCATGCTAGACACCAGAGATACTAGAGTAGGTGGATTTCCAGTCCCATCCAGATTAGCCGCACTTCTGTGGCTGGGATTCCACAGGTCTCCCGAGCTGTTCTGAGAAGCGTTTGTACCCAAACACCACATTCACAGAGAAGAGATTATCTATGAATAGCCCTGGATATCCAACTGTGATAAAAACAAGATAAACCAAAATTCCAGTTCAGAAGGAACAAAAAGACTGATAAAAATAAGTGAGCAGCTATTTAAAATATTCCAAATATTTGCATTTGTGTGAGACAATAGTAACAATGATGAGAAAGGGCATGAAAAAGAATCACAGAAACTTATCACAGAAAGTTAAAAAACAAACAAACAAGCAAAAAACAACAGAAACTTAAAGGAAACAAGAAAAAATAAAAATAAATTGTAACTGAAAGGATTGGGATAACATATTTGTGTAAATGATGAATGAATGAGAGAGTTAGAACAAACTGCACCTAACAGTAGTCCATACTGAAGCAACTTAATAAAAACAGTTTCCAGCCAAAATAAATAAATAAATAAATAAATAAATAAATAATAATAATAATAAAATGAACTGAGTTGTAAAATGGACCAAGAGAAATGTAGGACAAAGGGAAAGTCACAAGAAGTATTACAACACAGTCCAAATTCTAGTAACTAAGTATCTCTTTTACATTTAAGATATACTGTATTCATGAAAAAAGGATTACATGTTATATTTTTAATGAAGTTAATAGAATGCAAAATATAGAAACGTTAAAAAATTTTATTAAATTTGAAAATACATGTATTATATTCACTCTTTGGTCAAGCATAGCAGAATTTGCAAGTGTTTTTCACAGTTATGTGGTGTGTCTCTGAGCTACAGCTGGTAGGGGTTTTCTGGAGAAGTCTCCTTTCATGAACTTAACCATGCTTTTTCATCCTAGACAAGGAAAGAGGAAAACTCCCAACACTCCCAACAAGGCTCCTGGCTGTGGCAGTTATGATTGTATCCTTTTTTTTTTTTTTTTTTTTTTTTTTGGTGAGCCTTGAAAGAATCAAGATACCAGACTGTGCCTACAGAAACCAGCAAAAAAAAAAAAAAAAAAAAAAAAAAAGGCTTGCTATTTTTCTTGTATTACTTTATTACTTTTTCTGTTCTTGGCCACTGAAGTCATGATTCATGGACAGAAAGCAATGGTTCATATTATCTTCATCTTCTATGATGATCTGTCATGGTACACTCACTCCATTTACTGACTAGGGAGAGAAAAATATATTTATGGTAAACTGATGAATATTAAAGAAAAAATCAACACAGTTTAACACGGGAATCTCTACTAGCTGGCCAGGAGTAATTGGTTTTAGATGTTACTCACCTTTTTTAGAGAAGATCCAAGTTTCCATTTTGAAGACATCGATGTAGACTTACCTATATGTAAATTTACTCATCTGCTTAGCCAAATTTCATTACTACATAGGATTAACCTTGTGAAAAGTAGAAAAGTAATACTATACAACAATCATCAATCGGTAAAATATTGCATGACTTCTGAAAATGTATTTGGTGACAAAGGAACCATCTATTATTTCTAGGTCCTTTCATATAGTCTGAATTGCTCTAAATTATCACTGAAGTTGTTTCTACAAATTAATGGAGGAAATAGGTGTGTTATACATCTCACTCTCCCAAACTGCCTTCTTCCAGAAGATTAGTTTTGCCCCACCCCTTGTTTTATTGCAGGAAAAATTTATGTCAGGTATATTTTACTGAGTCTAGCCAGTGGCTGGTCTGTAGCCACAAGTTTTCTTTTTCCTGTCCTTCACACCAAAGAGATGCAACGATGCTCCAGCCCAGAGCCATGTGGCCACACTGACATGGTGCTTGCACCAAGCTTATAAGACTTGCTGAAAAATAAGATACACTAGCTAAGGTTTGACCTTGCAGAATCACAGTGACATATCTTTTTGGAAAGTATGCTCAGTATTCAGTCACTAAGCATGAACACCTGATCATGCACACTCCTTTTTGCAGAAGTACAGAGAGCTCTGTAACTCAGGGAGGTCTGGAAACATCTAAAGGCTCTTAGAAACTGTGCAATAGCTCTTCAGCTATGTCCCTCACAGGAGTTCATGCATGGATTTCTGAATCTATCCTTCTTTCAATAATGTCAACAGTGAATAGCCACTGACTTTCACAGCTGCAGAACAGAATCACTAAATCCAAATTTTTTTATTTATTTTTTTTTTTTTAACAATACAATTAAAGTACTATCAGCTCATATAGTCTTTCATGAATCTGTTGTTAATTTAGCTCTGGTAGTATTAACTCTGGTTGCCAGTATTATCAACTGCCATTAAGAAAAAAAAAGTTACTGTTTTTTTACAGCTGTATAGCAGAAAACCTAAGTACCTCAACCATACAAACATAAGGACTTCACATTTATTATTTAAATGGCATCATTCTAACACTAATCTCATAAATGCTGAATGCCTGGTGTTGCTAAATTGAGAGGGGAAAATTCAGGTGACAGAGAAAATCCAGCTATTTCTGTCCTGAATTTACAGCAAGTGTGTGGCTCAATTTTATGCCTTTTATGCCAGAAGGAAGCACAGCAGACCAAGATTACAACCGCTGTAAAGTGTCATTGTGTCTTTGACATATAGGTCAATGTATAGATTTGAGTATCAGACATGGGACTGAATGTTCCTTTTTCGAAAGATCGTAACATAAAATTTATTATAGCGTGTCTAGGCTGCAAACTTTGTTACAGACCTTTTATTTGTACCAATGTAATTAGCAGGGATTTTTGCATGTAGATGGCTCATTTTTTATTTTATTTTTTCTGAATTTTGAATTTACATGCAACTAACTATAAGCGTACTTTATAGCATATTTTTAGTGCCTGATAGTGATCATAAATCAGGTAGTTATGCCTGTAATAATTTCTATAAGTGAGTGTTTGTGTGTGTGAGAAAATATGCAAAATTGGAAGGTGAGATGAGCCATGATGAGCATTAGAGGTCCAGAAGCAGATCAATAGCTGGTGTAAATTGCCAGGGCTTCATTGATTTCAATGGTGCTATGATAAATACCAATTCAGCTGGTGATAAAATAAATGTCATCAGCTAAGCATCTGGTCAATAACATTGCAGAATGCAGAATGAGGTATTGGTGCTACCTCCACACTGAGCACTTGCATTTACCTTTGAATTGAATCTGCATGGTTCAAAAGGGTAAATTTCCCTGTTTATTCCCATTTTTAAAAATCTCTGTTGGCTGGGTAGTGCCTGTGGGAATGCACATGGACAAATAATGTGACAAATACTTACACTGCTTTTACTCCTCTAATATTACTTTTATCTTCAAATGAAAAAATATATTTCAAGATACTGTATGAAAATTACTTGCACAAATTTGTTGCGCTTCTATGAGTTTTGTCATCCATCCCAACAGTGAGGGAAATTAAACTAAGAATTGGTTTTAATCCACAAATTACATACAATATTTAATATCCTTTTAGAAAATAAATCTTATTAAAGAAATGATAGTTTTATATGCGTATGAATTACTAAGAATTATAATATCAACAAAAAGGAATGAAGCCAGGTTGCACATATAAATCTTAGTGATTTTCAATATCTTTTTCTTAACATTTTTCACCAGATAGTTTTAGGTTCATTAACCATTTCTTATTTCACAAAGTTAAGTTTTTACTGAATCTGTAAATGAGAAATCAATTATGCAATGGCATTAACAGAACTTCAGAGAAAATGCACATTGTGCATAACTCATAGTTAACTCACTGATTCTGCTATGTAGCTCTCTTATCAAACGCCACTAATTTCAATACATACACATCTATTGATATGCCAGAATTAAATACAAATAGGATGTTTAAGTAAAAGAACCCCCTTTGCCATGTTTCATATTGTTCAGCTGTATTTGGTGACCTCAAAAGGACATGTTCATCTTACAGTGTTATTATTTCAAATGGAACAGGAGATTTTTCATGTTTCATGTTTTCATGTCCCTTAGCTGAAGGGACAGAAAGAACAGACTGAAAAAAAGATAGACTAAAAAAAGCAGAACTACTGCAACAGATATTTTGATGAGAGCTTTGAATGAAAAATAACAAAACCTCTGCAGGGAATTTCCCATTCATTTATTTGGGAACACATTTTCACAACAATAATTAAATTACCTAATGTTCGCTTACATTAAAAAGTGATAATCCGTAACGTTTTGTTACTAAAAAAAAAGGGGGGGGGAGGGTGGATAAAAGGCCAATATATTAAACTAACACCACATGAAAAAAATAAAAAAATTACAAACATCAAAAGAAAACCATGGTGTTTGACAGCTTCCTGTGAATTCTGTTATTTCACCAAGAGGTGAAGTTGGCAACAGAAGTCCCAGTATTTTCTGTGCAGTGGTGTCTTAAAGTTTTAACATGCTTATTAGCTATTTGCAGGGTATTTCAATAACCAAAACATCTGGTAATTAATGTCTTAGAACATAGGAATCCCTGTTTAGTACAGATTAAAAAACCCAACAACTACATTGTCCTAGCGAGCATCATGT